GTATGAACAGCTTCATACAATCCCATACGTTCTATTTTGACACATAGTTACCGCCTAGCGTTTTCGCGTCCGTGCGAACGCTCGCTTACTCCGGCACATCTTCGCCATGTGCAAGAATCTCAGAGACGCCATTAAGCGAGATAGCGGAGTACGGGAACAAACATCCATTATCATACAAACGCTTAGCGTGTCTCGTATATCAGATGAAGCTTTTATATCAGTAGAATTTCGTTTACCTACAACGTTCATTTTCGATAGATAGATCGGATAGAATAGGATCACCGATTTAGTGAATGACATTATGTAGTTGTTATGTTCTTAGAATTATTGTTAACTAGCTTACGCCCGTGACTCCGTCCGCGTGGTATTAAAAAAAAACAAAAGTAAGTAGCCTATGTGTTCTTCCAGAATATCCTCTACATCTATGCAAATTTTCATCGAGATCCGTTCAGCAGTTTAGTTTAGGCAAACTCGTACAAACATCCATCCATCTAAACTTTCGCATTTATAATATTAGTAAGATAATAATCCACACTTCATGTGACTTGTCTATTTCTAGTCGTTATTCTATGTAAAAGGTCTTCAATTTCGTATCGATTAACAGTACAGGAGCCATGCTGGCTACTACACTGGTTGGAACGTATAGCATATGGACGTACATTTGTCCGTGCGTCGTAAGGGTGGGGTGCATTGTGGTATGCGGTCGTAATTCAATTGTCGAGGAAGTGCGCTCACTGCGAACCACGCAGACTGTTTCGGCTAATGGCACACGTCATCTGTTCATACAAAGAATTTTTACAACCAACTAATCGAATATCGTAGAACAAATTGTCATTATTAGAGCTATAATATATGTTGGTATGATAGCGTATTAGATTATTGCATAAGTGTCAAATAATGTTTTAATAGAAGTGGGTAGGAAATATAAGTCCCCGACTGTATTTGGGGTTCTGTTGTGGGTAATGTTATTGACCAATGTGGTATGAAATAAATAATGAGTAAGTACGTTTATAAGGTTTCAATGAAATTTGAATTTGAAGCCATTAAACATTTTTTACTATACAAAATAATAATTTGATCTGAAAAGGGATTAAAAACAAACTTAGGGCCTGTCCCACTACTGACTGATAGTGGCTCGGATAGCTTAAAAAATCCGATTTTTCTATCATATATTGTACACATTGGATTATTATCAGATAATTTAAAATTTGGTAGAACAGGCCCTTACTAAGATATTATTAGGCGATGACTACATACGTATTATAAATTAGGAATTATATCCACGTCCTTACTTTTCCGGGTCACGTCACGGAGGCGGCGGTCGTGTGTAGCGCCATATAGACTCCGGTAATTAGGCCCCTCGGGACGTCACACGACAACCGTATAATTCATACATTTACATACACATGTGCGGTATTCGTAGCTACAATGATGTCCGTACACTGTGTATTTTGGAAACCGTGACGTGTGAACAACTCTTAACAGATTCAATAGATCAGTTCACAACACCCTGAACTGTTGAGCTGCGGCTCAAAAACTAAATTAGCAGCTGCAGCTCATCGCTATGTACTAAAAGCCGAGCTGTGAACTGCCTGGTGATTAGCAATTCACGTAAATTATCCCACTATCCAGACAATAAGCGGATTTGTAAGCCGGTTCACAAATATGCTTAACTCTTGAGAACCGTGAGCTGATCTGCAGGTCATGTATTTTAGTTGGGTAAATCACTGTGATACTAAGAAAATAAGATATTTCTGTTTATGTAACATGTTTCTTTAGAATAAAACTCTGTAATTTTAATTAAAATAGTTTTATAGTCTGTTCGTGGAAAACTGTATCACTTTTGAATTGCAAAATACATTAAGCATTACTCGTAAATGGTTTAAGAGAGCCCAGTGGGTCAACAGGAATTGCTGTAGTACTCCAAGCTGTTATTAATTGTCAGGGGATGTTTGGCTACATTCCACCAACCCAACCCTCCAACGATTATAATTCAAGAGCTGTATTCTTTTGGCTCTTTCCCCGCTTTTAAATTTATGATAACTCAAATGCATTTAGTACTTTCAATGAAATTCTCGTTTATATTTCATTTGACATTTTGGCAAGTTTTTCCAAATGTTTTCTGTTCTGTAACTAAGACAGTGAGTGGTTTTTATGCAACATGTTACACGTGGTAGTTGCATAACGTTAACGTCATGCAATTTAGATATCCCGTTTGTGCCTACTGAGATACGCGACGCGTCCTTATTCCCGTTCGCAAGAAAATTTAGCGAACAGATGAATATAGATAAGAGATTAAGGGCCTGTCCCACCACTGGCTGATAGAGTCTCATATATATAGCTTAAAAATAACGTCACTTTTAAGCTATCTGAGCCTCTATCAGCCAGTGGAAGGACAGGCCGTTAATAATGATTTGTATTACATTTTGTTTCGTTCAACTGATTCAGTTTTATGTGTATTTTTATTTCTTTGTTTTGTTTTTGCAACCAGAAGTAAATGTTGCAGTGTCATATTTGAGTTAACCAAAGAGGTTTGTTATGAACACAGCGCTCAAGTAATATCTGTGCGACTCGTAATTGCGGCAGACACGCGACCCAATGTCACGTGCCCGATTTGTTAATTGTTCGCACGCTACCGAACATACGCTTAAATCCTATACACGCATTCGGAAATGCTCAAATAAACGCATTTACTTATTCTTAAAATACCTTTTACGTTTTAAATTACAAACGAACACACTTACAATCTACTGATATTGTAAATGCGACTGTTTAGATGGCTGGAAGCATCCATCCATGTTTGTTAAAGTTTGTAGCCTAAACGGCTGAACGGATTTTGATGAAATTTGGCATAGATGTATACGATCCTCTGGAAGAAACATAGAACACTCACTTTTATTTTTTTATTTCTCATGGACGGAGTCGCGGGCGAAAGCTAGTGTAAACATAAATAAGTAAGGATAACTTATTACATTGCTTTCCAGCTGCACCATTCTTCACGGAGGAGCCGCAGTTCCAGAACCTGGCTGAAGGGGAGACAGCGGTGATCAACTGCCGCGCGGGGGGCACGCCCGAGCCCCAGATCTCGTGGGTGCACAACGGCAAGCCGATAGAGCAAGCAGAGCCCAACACACGTCGCCAAGTTACTGCCAACTCCATCGTCATCACCGACCTGGTGAAGAAGGACACGGGGAACTACGGTTGTAACGCGACCAACTCCAATGGTTACGTCTACAAAGATGTCTATATTAATGTACAATGTGAGTATATTATATTTATATAATGCTTTACTTAAGTTTAAGTACAACTTAGGTCGCACTCACAGGTGGACTATGACTTGACTTCGGTTTTATGTTCTTTGCTTGTATTTTTCAAAGCATATTTTATTTGATGTCCTTAAAAAGCGTAGGAAATGAAAATCTCGACGCAGCAATCAACTGTGTCGTTACTTTTTATGTTTCAAATGCACACAGTCCCAATTATGTGAATAAGTGTCTACCGTGTTCACTTCCTTAGCAATTACGTGAGCTCTTGTAATGTCAACAAAACATTCAGCAAGCGAGAGCCGTGAAAAGATACGCGCAAATGTTCACACCATTCAGTTCACTTTAAAAATGTCATTCACATACATGACTTCTATTCATATAAATTTGTATGCAGCTCTGATTTTTTTAAAGTAATTATTTATTGGAGAAGTTAATTGCATTTGTATATCTAAACTAGATGTTCATGTGCTTCATCCGCATGAAATTATAAAAACTTATTTAATTGTTTACATTTGTCAAATTCTCAATTGCAAATGTCAAAATAACAGTTATCATGCCTTGCTTCCTTAATGTTGGCAGTTTTAGTTTATGGTCTTTTTCCCACATTTTTCCAATTAATTGTTTAATAGCGTAAAAATATGTAGTCTCAAGCGTGTCGTAGATGTATGGCTTTTTATTAAAGAAAGAACTATACAAAAATGTGATGGGATTGCTGACATCCTGCGCCACAAAGTAGTGTGCGTTTATGCTTTATAATATTAGTATAGAACTATAGGTTCTATACTGTTATAAGGAAGTGTGACTCAATTTCCAAGGATGTTTCTATGAAATTCGGTAGTATGTACTGTTTGAAGCCCTAAATGTCACGCGACGAATATACACGCACAATATCGTTCTAAATAAAAATTAATTGGCCACATCCTTACTGGACTGAACTAAAATGGTTTATATATCGTAACAGCCAGTACTAGCACGGTAAACTATAACAATAACTGTCAGTTACAATTAATCTTACCAAAAGTTTGTATAACTAATAAATTTGAACGTTAAAGACGTTGGCTTAAAGTTGAATTTGCTATACCTTGATTTACCATCTGCTTTACTGATTTAAAAAAAAAAAACCCGATGCCTTTACAAAAGAATGAATGTTTACGATCCTATACAATATGTTGCAATGCAGATTTTTTTTTACTTTTTTAACGTATAAAGTTTTGCTATACAAAGATTACGGGTAATGGTTGGATAGATGGTTTCGTTTTTTATGTTCAAGGGGACGTATTTCGTCTTTCAATATGCCATTGAAAATAATGCTACGAATTGATACCAGTATCATAAAAATGTCGGAATAAATATCACAAAAGGGGAAGATAAAAAAGAAATTTCACAGATTATACAATACTATACTAGTGTTTACCAGTAATTACCTAACACGGTGTTTGAATTAACAACGATGTGTTAGGTGCACGGAAACTTTTTCCTTTTTGCAAAATATTTTCAAACCGATTTTAATTCGGTGAGGGATAAAAGTAAAATAGGGAAAATTTACAAAGTAGGCATAATATTTGTAGTACACTAGAACAAGATAAAACCTCCCTCTTCAGATACGCTTGGGGTACAATTTTCATGAAAATTGGTATTATGAAGTGGAATGACCCGTGCTCCGCCGGTCAACACCCCTTGATATTACCCCAGCTGAGGGGATGCAAGACGATAACATTTTTTCCTAGGGGTTGGTTCACGTTAGGGTAGCCGCAATATATGTGAATAGTTTTTATCACAAAAGGAACACGACGTGAAATCATGCAACCTAATAAACCTTACGTTGATGTAATTTCTTAAAATTTAGCTTTTCTAAAGAAATAAAAGTAGTTTTTTTAAATGTATTTGAAGTTTGACGCGTTTTATTCACATTTATTTTGATGTACAGTAGTGTTTTACGATTCTTTATGAGGAAGTAAAATCCCCTTCCTACATATGCATGATTAAAACGCTCTCGGTCGACGCACAAAGGCAGTACGAACCGCGTCGCTACACCTCGCCACCTATACCTGAATGCCATTGTGCTCTCGCCCCAACATCCCCTCGCTGCGACGGATTTGTGTCGGTTCGATTCCTACGAACAATCGAGTGCTCTTGCACTGGTAAATATCGCAGATTATCTGTTAAACAGATAATGTCACTGTAAATATTATGTCACACGAATTTTCGTTTAGGATTATATTTTACGTTTAGTATAATATTTGACGCAAGAGTATGCTTTATGTGAATTTTTCGTAGGTATAGTGTACGTACGAATTGTTAGGTTTGACTAATACTTAGTTCGAAACTATTTAAACCTGTAATACGTAACAGTTGGGGACGGTAGGATACGTCAATTGTATCGGGCACATCCTTATGAGGTGTGGAGATCTCTGCACGCCCACGGCGCAATCTGCTCGCAGCGGAACTTGCACTTACGTACATCTTACGTCTACCATTCATTGAGTTACGAGGTTACTCACCTGGATGCTTATAATTAATTTTGTTAAAAATTCTTTTCGCATTTGCGACAAGTTAACAAGGTTAAGACAAAAAACTACTTAGAGGAAATCATCGGAATCGACACTATGGTTAGAGGGTTATACTATTTGTAAACAAGTTTTGGATATGTAGTCGTGTATTGCAGCAATCCCACCTGAGATCAAGGAGGGTCCAGAGAACCTGACTAAGGTGGATGGCTCGGAGGCTGTGCTCAAGTGCCGCGTGTTCGGCGCACCGCGTCCCATCGTCAAGTGGATGCGTGATGACGTCGACGTCACCGGAGGAAAGTCAGTACATCTCCGTTGATTGTCTTTAGTATTTGAGCGTGATTTATAATATTAAAATGTTTAAATTTATTTATCGTTCAGGTACAACATAACGGCGGAGGGCGACCTGGTGATCCGCGATGTGTCCTATACCGATGTAGGCACATACGAATGTTACGCAAAGAACAAGTTTGGGGAGAAATCTGCCTACGGCTCGCTCACTGTTAAGAGTTAGTATACCACTACAGGCCATTAAGGATATTAAATAGTATCATGCGACAGGGTTTTCACAGTATTTATTGTGTTCCAGAACGCACGGTGATAACGGACAAGCCGGACAACTACGAGGTAGCGGCGGGCTCGTCGGCGACATTCCGCTGCAACGCGCACGCCGACGACTCGCTGCGGCTCGACATCGTGTGGCTCAACGACGGACAGCCCATAGACTTCGAGGCCCAGCCGCGCTTCCGCGTCACCAACGACCACTCGCTGCTCATCTCCGACACCAGCGAGCTCGACTCCGGCGAGTACACCTGCATCGCGCGCACCGCCGTCGACGAGGCGCGCGCGCAGGCCACGCTCACCGTGCAGGGTCAGTACACCACCACTACCACCCACGACCCCCCTCCCTCATACATATCCGAATTGAAGCAACTCACGATCTCTTACAGATAAACCTAACCCTCCGGCACTGGACGGCGTCGAATGTCACGAGAAAGTGGCCACCCTCCGATGGCACTCGATGGGCGACAATCGCGCCCCCATCTTGCGCTTCTCCATCCAGTATAACACGACCTTCACGCCGGACTCGTGGGACGTGGCCAGCGACAACGTGCCCGCCATCGACACCTCGTGGACCGTCGAGCTCAGCCCCTGGGCCAACTACACCTTCCGCGTCAGCGCCTGGAACAAGATCGGCCCCTCCACGCCCTCCGCGCACTCCGACGTCTGCACCACGCAGCCCGACGTGCCCTACAAGAACCCCGACAACGTCGAGGGCAAGGGCCGCGACCCCACAAACATGGTCATCTCCTGGACGGTCAGTATAACTTGACAATCGCAGCTAAAACTATTACATCTACATCTGAGTACTAAAATATTTGTTGGTGTTTTCAGAAAATGCCTCAAATCGAACACAACGGCCCCGGGTTCTATTACCTGGTGTCATGGCGGCGCAACATTACCGGCCAGCCGTGGAATGACCAGCAGGTCACCGACTGGCAGGACACCGAGCTCGTTGTGCCCAACACGCCCACCTTCCAGCCGTACAGGATCAAGGTCATCGCCGTCAACTCTAAGGGAACTTCCAATGTAGCTCCCGTCGAAGTTATTGGGTGGTCGGGAGAGGACACCCCGCTGCAGGCTCCCACCAACTTTACCCTGGTTCAAGTGACCACCGGCACTACCGCCCTGCTCAGCTGGAATCCCGTGCCCGCTGAATCTGTGCGAGGACACTTCAAGGGCTACAAGATCCAGACCTGGACCGACGGCGAGGAAGACAGGGTCAAGGAGATCCTAGTGAAAGCCGACGCCTCAAGTGCTCTCGTCTCCAAGTTCAGACCCTTTAAGAAAAACAATGCCCGAATCTTGGTGTACAACGGCCGCTTCAATGGACCTCCAAGTGAAGTTTTAAGTTTCCTCACTCCTGAAGGGAAACCAGGAACCGTAAAATCATTCGAAGTATACCCAATCGGATCATCGGCCATGCTGCTTAAGTGGGACAAACCGATCGAAGAGAACGGAGTCTTGACTGGTTACAAGATATACTATCAAAAAGTTACAGGAACCGCTTTAGGACCATTACAAGAGAGGAAAAAGGAAATCGATCCCAAATTCGACCGAGCAAAGTTGGCAGGTCTGGAGCCTAACACCAAGTACAGGATCGAAATCCGTGCAAAAACAAAGGCCGGTGAAGGGGAGAAGTATTACGTGGAGCAGACTACTAAAGCCATGGTTAACGCTAAGCCGGACATTCCCATGTTTGAGACTATGACGGTGCCGGCTAAGGAGGGGACGGCACATATCCTCGTACGCTGGTTGCCTTCGCTAGATGGTCACCCTGGTACGCACTTCGTGGCGTGGTACAAGTTGAAGGGGCACCCTGACTGGATGAAGACCAACGAAATAACGGAAGACGATTACGTGATAGTGACGGGGCTGGAGCCAGGACAAGTGTACGAGGTGAAGGTGACCGCACACGACGGAGAGTATTTCAGTACTAGTGATGTTAAGGATGTTGATACAACTACTGGTGAGTATTCATATATGTAGTTTTTAAAATGTTTTTTCTTACCTTGTTTAAAGTACTTGGATGTTGAAGAACTTTTTTTGTGATAAGTAGATAGACTGAATTAATAAGTTTTAACAAAAATAGTAATAAATAATATTCCTGCAAGCATAAACTACCCGTCGAAGTCGTGTCTAACTGAGTATACACAGACAGACAAAAATTTAATAAAACCGATAGTATCATACTAATACGAAAGTTTAGATGGATGGTTGTTTATTAGAGTTTGTAGCCTAAATGGCTTAACAGATTTCGATGAAATTTGGTATTGTAGAGAATAGTCTGGAAAAACACATAGACTACTCGTTTTTACTTTTTATTATTCCATGCGGACTTAGTCGCGGGCGAAAGCTAGGGTTATAACAAATACATCATGTTCATGAAATATTATTTTCAATATGACAAATAGACACTCTAAGTTTACTGTACGTATAATGTGTGTTGTGCAGACGGCCCCATGATAATGCGCGACGACAAGATGGCGACCGCGGGCTGGTTCATCGGCGTGATGCTGGCGCTGGCCTTCCTGCTGCTGGTGCTGGTGCTGGTGTGCGTGGTGCGGCGCAACCGCGGCGGCAAGTACGACGTGCACGACCGCGAGCTGGCGCACGGCCGCAGGGACTACCCCGACGGCGGCTTCCACGAGTACACGCATCCGTTAGTACACCCCCCTTACTTTCTCCCCCACCCCCACCCCCACCTACATCAGAAAAAACTACAAAACATGTTTTTAGCAATTAATATAATTATAATAACGTACTTAAACTTAAGCACTCAAGCCACTGACGCCAAAATGTCGCGCTATTCTAATACGTCTAAATGACATTGACAGCTGTCAGATACAGGACGTCTATGCCATGTTTTAGTGTTGCCAATATTTTTGATCTTCCTGTTTTTTTATTTAAGGGCTAGCAGTTGTTCGTGACATCATCCGCGTGGAATTTAAAAAAAGGAAAAATTTTGCCTCTGACTGAGCGATAACGTAACTTTTTAATGGTGAAAGATTATTTTAAATTGGCCCAGTAGTTTTTGAGATGTTTCAACACATACAAAAGTGCAAAACTTTCCTCTTTATAATATTAGTATAGACTGTGTCCCTGTTAATGGCGCAACCTTCATTATTCCCTTTCTTGTGGCAGCTTTTTTACCCCTTGTATATATGTTTGTCTGTCTTTCCCCATTTTTTCCCCCACTATTATTGTCGTTATAATGTCACATATCAAATGTCCTAGAATTTTTCCCTTATCTATTAAAAACCTCTGTTTATTGAATTTACGTGGCACAGACTGGACAACAAGTCGCGGCACTCTATGAGCAGCGGCACCAAGCCCGGCCCCGAGAGTGACACCGACTCTATGGCGGAGTACGGCGAAGGCGAAACCGGTAAATACATTATATTTGTTTATTCATACCATTTAAAGCATTTTATTTGCATGACACGTACAGCTAGGATTTTATAGAGAATTAAATTTTACTGATTGTAAGAGTTACGTCGTCAATGATATTCTAACATCAAAACATTTTTTGGCTATTTTAACGTCATTCGCTAGAGAAGACGCATCGTTTCAGCTTTCAGCCTATTTGACAGGTATACATTAAATATAATAATAATTAATTACACAAACTGTGTATTAGTATAGTGTCTTTATAACATATGCAATTTTGTTTCTACTGAAAAGTTGATATTTTTGATATCTATGGTGTTAGAACGTCAACGATGTTGTGTTGTTTTTAATTTTTTTATTTAATTTTATAACAACCATGAACAATCTATATAAGTTTTGGCATTTTTGTTGTTGCTAATAACGAGTTAAAAATGGATCTATTGCTATTTACAGATATTAATTTGCGTATTTGTTTGTATTTGAGGCATGTGTTTAGTGCGTTGTGTGTATGCATGGTTGCAGCGGGCATGAACGAGGACGGCTCGTTCATTGGCCAGTACGGCCGCAAGCGCCGCCCCCCGCCGCAGTCGCACACGGACTCCGCCTCGCAGGCCTTCGCCACGCTCGTCTGATGCACCACCCACTGCCCCGCTGCCCCACTGCCCCACTACCCCACTACCCCACTACCCCACTACCCCACTACCCCACTTCCTGTCTTATATGTACCGTGTTGGCAGCTTTTGTCTTAAATCTCTCTATTGTGACTTTGCATTACAACTCATTTTGAATCTCTAATAAACTTGACTAAAATATTGGACGATTCAAATATAAATTCCAATTGACCTTTTATGTATTAAACTCAAATATCAATAATCTCAAATATAGATTATGGAGTATTCGATTTGGTTGTTCAAATTCTACCTTAAGTTTAGTATACTTAAGTATTTTCGTGGTTTTTATTGTGCTATTTTAAAAATAGTATTTATAAAGACCTTCCAGACTAAGCAAATGTTGCACGAATCTCTTCTCGTAGGTAATATGTTAAGTACAGGTTAAGTTAAGCCTAATTAGGTTGTAAAATATATATAAATAACATAAGAGAGAGTTGCAGTGAATGTTTTTCTACTTTAAGATTTTATACGCACGAGCTTTGTTATGTTATTGGTTTGCATTTATATTTTTTAAAATAGATTAGACGTGTCCTTGTTTCCGTCCTGGTCTATTCCTCCTTCGATTTTTGTCTATGCACGAGCAGACAGTTTGTTTTATTTTTGTCATGAGGTATGATTATTGTTTCTTTTTTTTCGTTTTAAGTTTTTTTTGCATGAATGTTTTTACCCCAACCCTTACTTTTATTTTATCATTTTTTATTGTTAAATTGTGCATTTTTGATACATTTATAGAAAGGATGTCTTCTAGCCTGTTCCGGAACTCTATAAGACTAAAATATACATGAATAACAAATAATGTTTGTATGCATATGCAGGTCGTTTTACTGAGGATGGATCGTTTATCGGTCAGTACGTGCCGGGCGCGCGCGTGCTGCCCCCGCCCCCCGCGCCCGCCCCAGCCCCCGCCGCCGCCCTCGCCGCGCAGCCCCCGCCCCCGCCCCCGCCCACATACGTGTAGGCCACGCCCACCGCGCGATTATACATAACTACTATAACAATCTGCAATCTACTGTACGATATAATCCAATAAACAACAAAGTAAATAATTAACTAGATATCGTCTATGGTTATAGAAGTTATGTATTATTTATCTTAATTGTTATTTTTGTCGTACTCGCCGGTCTCTCGCAATGGCCGCTTTAGTCGAGAGTGAATGCTTCAAGATGTCAATGTTAGTTTACGAATGTAAGACACGGCCTTTTATGAATCGATTACACAATCACTTGTACTGCCAATATGGGTTTTTAAATATTAAAAAAGCTGATATTTAGTTGAAATTAGTTTGGTTTGAACAGTGTCGGATGCTACTATTTTTTTTTTGTTTCCCCTATATCAGATATTTTGAGAGCATCTGAATTTTGGAAATGTTGGTAATAGAAAATAGATTGTTTTTTTATGAGACTGATTTTAAGTAATGATGTAAATTAGTCATTTTTCCACTCGTTTTGAATAGCTTCAGTAGTTGCTCTTTGACACAATCAATTTATGTAGTTCACATTAAAAACTGCATTTACAAATGTTATCGAATCAGAAAAAAAATGTCATAAATCAAACGTAAAATGGCAAAAAAATTCCTGGACTATTTAGTCTGGTAAACAATTTTTTTTAATTGTCAACAAAAAAGCGTTAAAATATCTGTGTAATTAAAAAAAAATTAAAAAGTGTTGTTTACTGGTCGATTATTTATTCGATAAAATTAACAAATTGCCGCTTTAGATTGTAGAAATCGTGTTTTCTGAATATCAATTATTTGTAAACTAAGGATATGGTAGCTGGTGTATTGAAAATTAAGAAAATGATATTTTTGTCACAGAAAATGTATTGGATTTTAAATTTAGCTCTGGAAGCCGGTGGTCAGGCTCGCTTTATACATGAAAAATATTTCTACATGAATAAAATCATTACATTTCATTTTTTAATTAATTTTATATAGAGCTTTGCAAGTGAATATTTTTATATCAAATGCATATCTATAGAAATTAAACTTTACTAAGGATTCCATGTAAATGTTATTTTATACGATTTTAAAAGCTCACTTGTCAAATGCAATATAAATTTTCTATATAAATATTTAATTACACTGAAATTCTCATATTCTCAATATTTTATATTAACAGTTTTTTTAATGGCAGCTAATTTGCGAATCACCCAATTTTTAACCATAAAGCCAGGTTCAGCCTTGTCAAGTATAGATTATAAGGACTCACCGCCAGTTGCATGCCAGTCCAGTTATTGTACTGTCTAAGTGTAAACCAGGCATAAACTCCACTGCAATGATAATGGTATCACGTATTGTTATCTCTTTCACTCACTTTGATTAGACAGAGACAGAAACATGTGTTCGACAGAATGTTCTAGAAAATATTTTTAATGGCAGTTTGACCACCGCGCGTGTTGGTGCTTTGCGGAGTTTGTATTCGGTGTTGTGATGGTATTTATTGTAGGCGCCTTGGAGAGCACGGCTTTTCTTAAAATACTGATAACGTAAATACAAAATACATGACACGCTTTGAAAAATCAAATTGTTAAATTTATAACCAGGTTTAAAATTTAAGGAAATTTTAACCTGACAATGATATTATTGACAATCTCAATTTCTCAAAAAAACATTTAGGGTTTTTTTTATAAAAGTCATAGAATAAAGAATAAATTCGTATAACTCATCTATAGCAATTAACGTATTTATTTATTTCTTTTTAAAATGATCTGTTACCTTTCTAAATTCCTAAATAGTTTTTATGCATTAATTTATTTTCAGCTTGCATAATTTTTATATGTAAAAATAAGTCTTCACACGTGCGACAAAATCACTTGATTGTAATCTTAGATTTAAGTCTATATTTTCGTGTTAACTATTCTTTAGCTAACGTTCGCTTTGGCATTCTATTAAATATATATTTGCTTTATTATGTCCTATATGTCGATTCAATATAAATGAGAATAACAAACCTCTCTAAATACTTAATAAGGCTATAATTACAGACTTATAAATACACAGACATGTTTGTATTAGGGTTGTAACGGAGGCCATTTTAACGGAAGCGGATGCGGATGCGGAGGCGAAGGGCTTCACCTCTGCAGAAGCGGAGGTAAGCGGAAGCGGAGGTCAATAATAAAATATTAATAGCGATTTTTCAAAGAAATAAAAACTAGAACTACGTTAATTCAAAATACAGATTGGTACATAATTACGAGATACAGTTTATTATGCAAATATAATGTATAACAATGATAGTTAGCTGACCTAGCTCGTCCGCGCGGCCCGCATAAGCGATACCTTATCGCCCCCTTCGCGTTAAAGACATAAATTAACCTCCGTTATAACTCCGCATAAGAAATAACGTAAGCGGATGCGGAGTTATTAATTGCGGAAGTTCCGCACTTGCGGATACGGAAGCCGAGTTCCGTTACAACCCTAGTTTGTATCATCAAGTAATGGATTTTTCCAGAATAAATCCATAATTCTCATTTCTATTTAATTCGATCATTATTAACAGATAAACTTAAAATTTATGTTTGTTAGTGTATTCGCTTTTATTTAAGTAATTCGTATTCAGTTCTTCGCCTGAAAGGTGTCGGGTCCTAAGTAATGTACATTCCACGCGGTATAACCATGTTGATTTTATATAGATATGTTTTATTTATATGTTTGAAACTCGGCCAGATGTAATCTGTGAGCAGCGCTGGTACTGCCGTGTGTGGACGGAAACCGAGGGATATATTAATTATTTATTATTGTATATTTATATTTATTTGTCGTACCCCGGGCCCGGTTTGCCGCCGGGAGCTTGCTCTGGTACCTGCACATCGCATATTTGACGGCATGTTATTTTAGCCACCGTAAGTTATTTGTTAAGGAGTCTTGATCAGCTCTATTGTCTAGTAAGAATTATTAATATATGTATTTTTAATATTAAATACTTTAGGGGATCCTCGTTCGATTTTGTCGCTTATTACGCCCTGTTGATTGTGAAATATTTTTCCTTGACTTTGTATTTGTTGGCATTCGAAATGAAAAAAAAAATATGAAATTTTGATAGAATTTGTGTAATTGTTGACCACGGTGATATCACTGCCTTTCTCGAAAATTCTTAGAATTAATCAAGTGTTCATTGTACTCGCCGTGTATATAAAATTGACTTAGTTGTCGCTCGCCTCAAAACAACTGTACTGGAATCAGGTCGCTAGCGCAAGCCAGCATTCATGTTAATGCATTAAAATATTGTTACACGATGTATTTGCTCTTGAGAGTGGCATCCGTATATAGATTTCGAATTGACCGTAGCGTGTAATAGCTGAAAGTTTTTCTCATAGCTAATATTGTTGTAATTGTACTTTGTATTCTCTTCCCTTTATAAAGCCGAATGGAACCGGTTAAAATTGTTTATTGTGCTATTCAATGCATTCAATGTTAATCTATAGTAAATACGGACGCTTCCTTACCATCTCATTTATGACAGACAAAAATGCCGCCAAATTGTTGATAATTTTGTAGGTTATCTGTCACAAAAGAAAAAAATGGCCTCACTTGGCGCGAAATTCAACCATAGACATTGTGTTCTGCCACAGAGAAGTAACGAAAGCGTACGTATTTCAAACTTTTACTAAGCGAGCTTCTTAATACCGAGGTGTTTTGTTAAATTAGATGATAGTTTGCATTTAAATCAAGTTGGAACATGACAAGATGTGTGTTGACATCAGAGATCACGAATTAAATGATTTACAATTTTAGTTTGGATTAAGTGACGGTAATTTATTGTGTAACTACGATGGATATTTTTTTATGTTGCATAGAAAATAAATTTTAAGAAATTAGTGTTTGTTTTTTATTTATCTTAATTTCCTTACCCTTATTTTTAAGCCAATTAGAAGAGTTGATAGCGGTAAACGCTAATATCGCACATTGTTCCTTAGAGCTGATTAACTTCCACAAAATACAAAACAAGCGGATAGCTAAATTTCTCAGACTCGACAAAGAGTGTCACTGAATACTACGATGCCACTGTGAATTTAGAATGACTAGTACTTCTATTGCCAAAACTTTTACTGAGGGTAGTACCAAATTGTTACAAAAATAAGTACACTCTTCTAAGGAAATAGATTTCTAAAACCCCACGTCCGAGTTTAACTGCAATGCAATGTAATTTTTCCTCATGTTACAATACTTTTATGAAGGACATAAAGCTCAAATCTGTACATATCGTTTCAGATAAGACATCGAGTTATCCCATCCCATACGGCGAGCGAAGTCATAAAATATTAGCAGTCGACATTTGAGCGCGCTGTGAGGTGCATGTGTTGTTGGGAACATATTTAGTGTTCGTAAAAAAATTGTGTTTCCGATCTTCGACCATTTGTATAACTTGAATAGTTACAGTGTCAGTGGTTTTGCTATATTATTTGTTTGTAAAGGAAATAATACAGGTATAGATTTATTTTATACTAAATTCTTTGCGAAATTTACGGGATAACAAGAGATCGTTGATCCCACTTATGTTTAATTGTTTAACGATACTGATCAAGTGCATTGTTGACTTCTCGTTTAACTTACTCTTAAAATCTCGTATTAGCAAATTTAAGTTAAAATTTTAATATTATCATAAAAACAGATACAATTAAGTATGTTGTAAATACTAAACACAATATCTGTAAGCAGTTTAAAACTTGTAATTTAGATTCAAATTTATTCTTTCTTAGTCAATGTTTAAAAAAAGATAAACAACTTTTTATGTCTGATGTAAACAAGGTGTTATTAATAGTGTCCCCCGCACAATCTCTCGACCACGGACCCTGTCTTATGCTCTGTTAATTGATTCTATTTTTCAATCAATTTTAATACTTCAACCGGTTTCACATCTGTTGCAAAAAAACGACCATTTTAAAATTTCATGTAAGAAAACGATTAGCTTATATCATAATTGATATTGCTTGTGTTTTTGCACATCTGAAAATTGATTAAAGTCAAACTCGTGTTAAGTCTGCTTTTAAATTATGGTTTTTGTTCAATCGATATGATGCGTTTGACTACACACTGTTAATTAAATTATCTGACACAATACTAAAACGGAACAATAAATTATTGCTTACAATTTATCTTGCACTTAAAGGCCAATTATGTTATTGTAAATTTATTAGTGTACATGTGATATACGCGGAATCATCGCGAAGATTGATCTTTATGTTTATTGTCTAAAGTTAATTAAATATGTTGCTTATCTCTGGATACATGATTTACATAAAAAAATAATTTATAAAAATTTACATTTGTGTCGAGATAATTCATTAATTGCGTCGACCTATAAGTTGAGGTGAATCTTTAAATAGAAACGTCCAAATGGCCACAACAAAAGCAGGACGCGGGCAGCGGGCAGTGGTCGTGTGGCTCGCGGACGGGAGCAGCCGAGCTGTGGCTTTTTCTTTTTGTCCTGTTACCTGTTCCCGCACGAACCGGCCGCTGGTTAGCCTAACAAGTGCGCGCCAGGGGTACACAACCTTTTTGGCATTTACTTATTGTTTTATTTAATTTTTAGATTTATTGTGATTTAGCTGCTTTAATGTTATTAATAAATTTACCTAATTATACCGCCTGTGGTACAAAGACGGTGAGCTGTAGGTGGCTTAAATTACGATTTACTAGAAACCAATTGTTATTTACAGATTTCCCAGCAAAGGAATCGGTAAAACATAAACCTTTGCCACAAATAATCTACATAAATTAGAATTAGCATAAAATTCAGTCGTGGATATAATTTGAATATTTTGCATTATATTTGCAAAGTCACGGGGTCATTCCCATTTCGCAGCGCAGTTATCACAGGATGCGTCTGTCGTTGACGACCAAACAGACATTCGAAAAATTATATTGAGATTTTTAACAAGCGAACGAATCATATAAAAAGATTTAATCAATTACTGTGAAACTTTACATTACAATGATTTAGCTTTGAGAGTTATACGAGTACGTTTAACTTAGTAATTCGTAATCTCTCGGTAGATAAACAACGTTAAAAAGCAATTGTCATAAGAGTAAATTTTTTGCCATAAACGTAACTATTGTTAGATATTTCGACACAAATGACTTCTTTTAAAATACAGACGGATGGCCAACAATACTTGTAAATTACTTTAAAACACACAAACTCAAGTCCAAGGCAACTACTTGAAGATATTGAACGTTCCGTGGCGACTACTAGACAAAAACAGATTGTTGGTGACCGAGGGCGAGCCACACCGTGCCATGTAATCTATACCCACTATTCCGTTTCCTAATATTTTCCAAATAATATTGTTGTTTTAAATAAAGAATTTTTTTAAATAGTATTGATAAATGTCACAGATTTACAAATAACTATTAAGAAAATAAAGTCTATCAAAGTAGTTAAAAAGCTAACACTATTGCTTTCGGAAAAATGTAGTTTCGGATTTTCCTATCGCAAATACGGAATGAATATTTGTACAAGATCTACACCGCAACGCAAATATTTATTTTCCTATTGTATATTCAAACGCTTACGTCCTTTAAAAAATTAGCGGTATTACGTTCAATCGTTTATTTTAAATTAGTTCATGGAATAGTCAGAAATACAGTTCTCTAACTTACTAACCAAACAGCATAAGATATATGTAAAACGATATAAACATCTCTAGAGCTTTGTGGGTAGGTATGTATTGTGGTTTTTAGACCCCTTGAAAGTAAATCACAGAACGTTACAACGTCACTGCTCCCTACTCATTATATTGCGTAGTTGTTTCTGCGTATTCAAATGAAATAAAGTTCACTTTTAGCTAAATCTACAGGAAAACTAACTACTATTTTATAAAAGTTTGCAAACAAATCATTCGCAATTTATGTAATGAACCAGCGTAGAACAAAACTAACTGATTCATTGTTAAATAAACACCAAGAACAGACTAAGAGATTGCTTATTAAATAATGTCTTTCGAAATCAGAAATAATATTGCACAAAAGTATAGCAAAAGCCATTTTTATTCAATTACAATCAGGACAAACATATAATAAAAGCATATCGCCAGTCTACACCAATATTACTAATTGTAGGTTATCGTGCGGTGACCACGACAGATTGTGGTAAGCTATATATTTTTGTTGTTCTCAGATAAGTTGCGACGAGTGAGATCTTTATTCCAATTCATTGATAAAAACAAACTGTGCAATAAATTATACGGCTATATTTGATCGTATTTTTTGTCATTCAAATACAGGAATTACAAAAAATTACTTCTTTTTTAGTAATCGCAGTGATTATAATTAGTTTTAATATTTGTGATGTTTCCCTGAATGTTGGCAATAAATAGTTCTAAAACCATAGCTATTTTGAAATGACAGAAGATAAATAGACACATAGACAAAAATGTTGCGCACCCCGCATCATAGATCCATGTGTCCTCTTTTTTGTTTACACCTTTTGTTAGTATAATTCGACATCGGGAGTGAGAAAAAAAAGCAGCGTACACATTACATCTTGACAGGGAGATATTTAATGAAGTCGTCGAGTTTTTTGGTGCGCGGCCGTTTCTCACGACTGTACTGTATTGTGGGAGCACGTCCAAACGGACCAATCAATTATGTTAAATGTGATAATTTTTCCTTTTTTTTGTTAAAGACGTTAGGTTTGTGACCCAAAACGATTTCGTATAGTCAACAAGCGTATTATAAGGCGTTTACACGGTTATTTAGACAGGAATTTTAACTCCGTAAAGTACCTTGTATTTTAAGGCGAAGTTAATAAAAGTTTTCAAAAATAAGAATTAAAATGACTATTGGACAATTAGAAGGAACAGTCATTCGTAATATTTATAGAACTAAAATATATAATTAGGTACACATGCTAAATAAATATTGTTAGGAACGAACACTAAATAGAATCAACACTTTGATATGTCACAAATTATCACAAAGCAAACAAACATTGGCAAGATTTTGTGTCAATAACAAAATTATCATTCAGAATTCCTTCCTTTTGTTATCATTAAAACAAACGGCACGTTAAGTAAATATACACACAGATAACGGAATTAAACATTACACAGTAACAACAAACAAATGAAAATCTAAATTTACTACAAAATAAATATGATAAATTTGGAGGCCTTCGTTAGTAGGCTAGGTAGTGGTTATTGAACCAACTTATGCAATCTTTCTTTGCGAAACTATTAAACTGTGTTTTAGCATTTTAAGGTACAATCAAGCTAAAGAACAACGTATTAAAATATATTACTATTTCCGAATGAATACATTACTGACAATATAAGAAATATCCGCAACGATAACAAAAGTCGTTTCACACGGTCTACAAATGATACCGCAACTGTGCAGTGTAAACCGACCCGATTTACATGATACATGCACAATACAAGATTCAGACTTAATACGTTCTATTCAAAACAGTCTCCTATTACTGCAGAAACTATCTTGCTACTGAATATTAGGGCTGACACATCTGTGGCCTTTATAATGTAGTTTCATTTTTATTTACTTTACATTGGATGCTTATGATTGAAGGTAAAAAAAAATAAATGAAATTAACAACCTAATAATTCTACTAAACAAAATTATTTAATTCATATTTTTACACATCGTATTCGAAAACAGTTTTAAGGTTGTTAGGGTCAGTCAACTCACGCCGGGACGACACGACCATTTTTGTACATCCAGACTTTATCAACCTTTTTATTTGTTCTTACTAAAACGATTTGCAATATGCTTCTTTTTAAATTGTAGTTGTATGTCCAAAAAACTATTACAAACTTGAGCTTATAAAAAGAACAACTTTAACGGTTATGCGTAATTAATGTATAGTAAATATGTTTGTGAAAGTGATATTTTGCGGGAGCATTGTAAATTAACGCGGAGTGACACGGTGTTGATTTCTGTTGGTGAAACATGATGCACTTTGTAGATCGGGTTACAGTTAGGGTGACCAACAGCGAATTAATTACAGGAAAACAGATTTACTGGGACTAAATTAATTTAAAATTTTGCAAAAACGTTCTATATTATAAATAGGTCGTTTATAAAATAAGAATACATACTTTATAATTTGCTTAAATATATGCCTTTTTACATTACAGGTATAGTGTGGTGAGGTGTGAGGTGGTAAGTGGGCAGTGGGCATCGGGTGAGGGCAGTCGTCAGCATGCGGTGGGCGTGGGCGTCGGCGTGGCGCGGTGCGCGGCTGTTCGCGGCCGTGGCGCTGGCCATGTCGCTCAGCCTCACGGCCGGCCGCCGCGACTACAAGAACCGCATGGACAGCATGGAAGCCAAGCAGAACTCAGACATCTCGCTGTGGATCGACGAGCGGCAAGTCCGCATGTTTAGTGGTTAGTTCACTGAAACCGAGATCTACCATTTTCTGATAGGCAGAAAATATCAGACCAAAAGTCTGACGGTAACTTTAACTTTAGAAATACCGTCAGTATTTCTAAAGTTAAAGTTTTAGCTTGGCCTCAGTACTTGTGTGTTATATGTTATATTATATTTTATTTTTTGTGTGAAATTGATTAATTATATTACAGGTATTTCAATGCAAGTGTTCGCTATTCTGAACGGCCACATATCGCCGTACATCCTGGACCCGAACTTTTCGCACAAGCTACCAACCATTCCCTCGGAGGTGGGCTACGTCAACTTCACGTGGCGTTCTCGAAAGCGCTACCAGTATCACTTCGACACGCTCACTTCCTCCGACCCCAAGCTGCTCAAGCCGCCCGTCCTCTCTATCAAAACCCAGGGCCGGGTGCCTAAAGCTCCAAAAGGTATATCACGTTTCTCATTCCGCCCATTACTTTTATTTTTTAGTAATTATTAAATTTTGTTTCATTAGTGTTACAGTAATGAGTTGGTCCTTCAAGCACGATAGTTAATTTTTAAATTCAAATAACTGTGATATTAAATGTGGTATACGAATTCATACTAAAGAATATCCTCATAGATCATTCTGCAAAAAGATGTTTTTCAATTGCTTTCCAAATTAAGTTTACAATTGAAATCTTTCGAAGTATTATATGTCCAGGGGTAATGACGTTATAGTTCTACATATGTGTTGTGCTTTAGACTATTAAACAAAGTCGTTGTTCGCAGAATTCAGTATATTTTTGATATGCCTGGGCAACAATAGCGGCGTGGCGACATTCGAAATAGGACTCGTGCTTAAAAACGGCCGCAACATCCCACTAAAAGGCACCCCTCTAAGGTTAAATCTAAAGAAGGAATGCGCACAGAGAGGTGTGTATTTAGAAAGGACAGGTATTGTATCGCCCACGCATTTTTAACACTTTGACACTTCTGTTACTGTTATTGTGCTAACACTACTTTTTAAAAATCAATTTTATAACACTCAATTTCTTGCGCAAACCAAAAATGTTGCCAATAGCAGAAACAAAGGTGTAACGCTTTCAATTTTTTAGCTGATTATCCAATAACAAATATTCTATTTCCTTCGAATCTTGTTAAAGAATCTAATTAAACAAACCTCTTACAGCTTATTAATTGAACTACTCTTTGCTTTTATTGAAAACAATCATGTGACGAAGACGGGGGCGACACTTAATATTGCATTTCATTTATTAAGGCTACGATCGTTGCTTTGGCTATTACATTAACTGCGCCTAGAAGGTACCGCGGTATGGCCAGGAGCTACTACCGACTACCGGTATAAATAAGTCAGTGTTTGTGCTCATGTGCTCGCCGGGAACAATACGGCAATTGACATTTTACGAGCCTATTGTTTACGTTTAAAATGAATAAATGTTTTACGCTATTCGTCATAATAATTTGTGGTGAAGACATAACAATAAATGTACAACAAAATCGGTTCAAAGAAACGATGTAATTGTTTTGAATGGCGCTCGGACCTCACGTAATGTTAATAAATTAAATATTTAGTGCTATCGGTGCGTTTTAAATATTATTTCAATCTGAAAACATTTGTAGTTATTACACTGAAATAAACAACATTTGGTTAATAATTGCATTAAAATTAAGAAGAAAACAAAAAGGTAATTTAAAATGTCAAATGTCGTTTGTTTCCATTATACTAATCCGTTGCGATAAACATTACGAACCCGACTTTTATTAACCTGAACGCATTATTTTCCGGGCCTTCTCACCGAGAACGCTGATTGGCTGATTTCGCGGTGCCTCTGCTCACAGAATTTGCGTTTTTAGGTTGGTACTCGCCTGCTTTTTATTAACAATTTTTAAATTTAATGTTGTCGTTAAATGCTGCTGACGGTGGACTCATAAACATTTTTTCCATACGTATGTTGTGTATTTTTCCTTTATTTTTTTATAGATACGACTATAGTAAAAATATAGTTATTATTCTAGCTAAAAACAAAGAATGAACGGGCTGGTCTCAGAGAGTAGATATTATAACACCTAGCTGTGTTTAAGTTTGTTTTTAATATTAAATTAGTAAGTAATACGTCAGGGCCGGACCCGGAGTGCGACAAGAAGTGCGCCAACCAAGGTTGGTGCAACGCGGAGAAGATCTGCCAGTGCCGCGAGGGCTACATGGGGCAGCATTGCCGCACGGCGCTGTGCTACCCGCAGTGCATGAACGGCGGCAACTGCACCGCGCCCGGCCTCTGCTCCTGCCCGCCCGGCTACCAGGGCCGCCACTGCGAGGGAGGTAACTACACCGAATTACACTGCCGCATCGCGTTTTCCTTTACTCCATCATTAAAGACACAAGAACTGCACGATACATCCCTGTTCGTAATATTTTTTGGTGTTGGCATTACTTTTAACGAAAGTCTTGTTCCGATAAGTGTTATTGCTGATTTGTGACTTAAGACTGAATAGATACGAAAGGGGAAATAATGGACACTGGGCTATTAATACAAATTTATTACAACTAATTTCAAAACGAATATGCTTAACTGACATCGTTACTTAATTGTAAAGTTTGTATGTTAAGTGCATTTTAAAAATATCTAAATCAAATTGCAATTTCAATTCTCCTCACAACTAATGTTTTGTTGCAAGCAGAATCGACGATAACTCGTCAAAATAATATTGTAATAATGAAAATTAATTAAAATATTCCCTGTTAGAGTAGTTACCTAAAACTGCCATCAGGAATGTTACATAAGGCACACGAGGCGTAACTTTAATTCCCGTACTCAATAGTCATTTACCGGTTATTTAAACTTGTAACGTAGATTCCTCATATTAAATCTACAGTCAGGAACTAAGTGATTACTTTACAACTCTGAGTACCAAGTCCTGTTTCAATTATCACTTGTTACACGGCTTTGGATATTGCAATAGCAACTTTGCAACCCGCCTTGATAACTTCGGTAAGAGCCTTGTAGAAAGGTGCTTGTTCTGCGCCGTGGTCGATGCCCGTGTCGTGGTGTTCCTGCTCTTCATCACGGAACTTGGTGATGGTGTCGAGGATGTCCTTGTCGACGTTGGGGTCAGCCATCAAGGTGCGCAGCTGGTCGTTGTAGTGGTCGACTATGACCGTCTCTACAGCGACAGTGCACGCCATTGCTGCTTCTTTACCTAGCAGTGCCGTTCCTAGAACACGGAAAGCGATGTTTTACAATACGTATTTTTGAAGCTGTCTGAATATTCGTCTGTAGAGATACCGGGTCTCTGTCGGAGGTAGTGCTTACGTTCTCTAATCTTCGTAAAGTACGTTTTACTAACGGTCTTCCGATTTTAAAGCGATAAATTAGGACATCTTTCAGGCCTTGAAACATTATGCCATTCTCATTTATTTGAAATAATTGAAGTTCATTGCAAGGTGCAAAGCTTTCCTGTAAGCAAAACATAAACGAGATAACCTTGAGGTGACTTACCGGCTCCCAGCGCGAATCCGGCGACGTTCCACAGGGGCGTCATGACGGTGGGCCGCACGCGGTACTTGCAAATGAGCTCTTCAAACTTCTCCCGGTGCTTCTTCTCCTGCTCCCACATGTGCTGTATGAGCGGGCCTTCCGCTGTGCGGCCCAGCACCGCCATCTGGCCCGCGTAGATGCGGTCCGCGCCCAGCTCGCCCGCGTGGTCCACGCGAATTATCTTGTCCAGCTGATATTGTGAAAGAATTTGCGATTCTGTTAATTCTATAGTTGACTAGAATTTACGTCTGACTGAATGATGTGAGAAATTGAGTATGCAAAAAAGTTGTTTTCGGTTAGGGTCAAATTACCTCAGGATTTTTCTTCCACGTGGCGGAGTGCGCCCCGCGCATCTGCTGCAGTATTGTCCTTGGTCGCAACATTGTCACACCTGCAATTAACAAACATTCAGGATATAACTAATTAGAAGATAAGTAGATAAGCACTTTCTCAACCTAAATATTATTGATGATTATTTACTTTTTCGCAGGAATATGCTCACAGAAGTGTCTCAACGGCGGCAAATGTATACAGAAAGACACATGCGAATGCCCCAAAGGTTACTACGGGCTACGCTGCGAATTTTGTATGTATAATATGACAATTATTTTGTTTAACGTGGTAAAAGTCGTATATAACAGTTTGACTATGTGTTTGTATAGCGAAGTGCGTGATCCCGTGCTTGGGCGGGGGGCGCTGTAAGGGGGTGAACAAGTGCCGCTGCCCGCCGGGGCTGGGCGGCGACCACTGCGAGGTGGGGCGGCGCGCGGGGGCATGCGCGCGCCCCTGCCGGCACGGCCTCTGCCGCGGCGGCGTCTGCGTCTGCGAGCCCGGCTGGAGGGGACGCTTCTGTCATCGCACGCACGGTAGCTGACATCTACTATAGAGTAGCCTACCCACACCCACATACTTATTAAATGCCCAAATACATGTAACTCTTTTCCCTCTTTCTCTTTTTCCTCTATGTTATGTTTATACATACAATTGTTAATTTGTATTCATTGAATGTAAGGCACATTCCCATAATATAACAATCAGTAATAGCCTAAATACATGTTCAATACCTTTGAATTGACAAAGCCAAAAACTACTGTATATTTATTTTTTCTCAAAATTACTTAACAATCAAACAAACTAGACGCAATATATGGCAAGAAAGTTCTATTTGTAATTTAGGGTAAATTTTGTACTGTATGCTTTTGTATTTACAGGTTCTTCAGAAGAATCCGGAGAATTTAAGAGGCCACGATAACTCAACAAGAACACGAATAATTTGTACATTTCACAAAGAGATATCTAAAAAAATATTTCAATAAGTACATTATGGATACTTAATTTTTATGTGATTTGATAAAGTTTATCACAAACTTATAATACTTTAGGTAATATTAATGTTAACATAGTCATTTTAGGACATAAGATTAAGATTAAATTAAGTATAAAAAAATGCAATATAAAACAATAAATAATAATTGATTACTATGATTTTTTATTTATTTACAAGTTAAATTATTAAAGTAAACCATAAAAATGTTGATTTTCTACAACTAATTTTATCCAGGACTTTGCTCTAAAGTGGGACACACACATTTGCATATGTTTTGAACACTTGTACTGTGCGGGTAAAACTGACAGTATGTAGCCGGTTTTACTTTTTATTGAAAGCTATAACCACAGGCTACTGATTAGTATTTATACAAGTTAACAAATCTTGTTTGAGAAAAAACCTAAACACAAACATCCACTTCATTTTCTGTATCTTCGACAATGAGAATCTGTTTGGTTACTATTACATTAAAAAAAACATACAATATTGGAACAACACAAGCAATAAGTATGTATATTAACGAAAAATTACTGAATTGTTTTGATAAGTAGAAAACATTCCGGCAATTAACTAGAAATTATATGTAAGCTTAAGAAATCGAATAGAGGTAAGTTCCATATCTCACGTGTTTTCCCATTGTTGATAAATAATAAAAACCTCATACAATAATACTTATTTATGAAACTTTTCACTACTGTAAAGTATTACCGTATTATTTCTTCATAAGTAACCTTAAAAACACTACAATAAAGTTTATTGTTCGACTTCGAAATTATCAGGGTATTTAATTTACAAGTTGTGATAAATATTAGCAGTTTTATACAGAAAGCTATAATATTATAACTTACCTTACTAAGTTGTTGTAATCAAAAATACACAAATTGACCACAATTCTTTCACAAGAAGATTAATTCATGAAATTACGAATTTTCACTGCTGAAATGTTTACAAAATTACTTGTCAAAATTAGTTTCTGAAAAACCGTGCAGTTAGCGCCACTAGTGACAAGATCAATGTTTTCGAAAATAAACTCGGAATTTTTCCCGAACACTCAGCTTCTACGAAGGATTATAATTTCCATTTGTCATTATAAAATTCGGCCGCGAATTTAGGTAAGTTTTATCAGTAAATTCGTATTTTTAAGTCAGTACTTACAAAATACAAGAGCAATCCCCCCGCAGCCCGAGGGGCGATTTCCCTTTCCAATGAAAGAAAATCACACCGCGCTAGGCGTGAGTCGTTACGTCATTTTCGAGAAACGTAACGAAACTAGTGATTTGTTCGGTGTCAAATGTTTCAAAACTAGTGATTTTTGTAACTAGTTATTTCCATTGCAAAAATAATAGCCTATTAAAATAAATCCTCTGTAATAGGTGTAAAAT